ATTTCAACATAAAACATTGCAATAAAAAACATTTAGGCTACATGAATGAGGCTTTACCACTTTATCAGTGTACAGACGATAGCTCAGTGGTTAACGCATCAACACGAGCTTCGAGGAGCTTCATTAGACCCGAGATCGAATCTCAATGCAGCATACATGTTGTTAACCGATGTTGTCCTACAGCGTTTATATTTTCCCACCTTGATGCTTAAATAGGTAACTGTTTATAACTGTTTACTTATTTAAAGTCAAGAGTTTTGTTTAATTATCATTACAACATAAATTTGCTACATTCCTGTAGAACCGCAGCCGCTGCACAAACGACAAAAACTGATGAAGGAAGATTGTCAGCCGATTGCATCAGAAAATGAAAATGAAGAAGCTCGTCTTTAGTCTGCTAAATTATTGTGTAATGTAAAAGAACACTAAAATTACTTAAGTTTGAAACCAAGTTCGAACATTTCAAGGTTTACATTTTTTCATCGGGTTGCATCGGGTTTAGAGTTTATTTCTTTTGCGATGCAAAATAAGAAACACTAGGCTAATCTTATTCTTGCGACATTTTAAATGTGTATTGCCAAAGAAATTACAGCTAAATTAAACAATTAAAACAGTACAAAACGAAAATTGTCCAAAGAAACATGATTAAATTAAAAACATGCGTTTCTCTTTGCCTCTCTCGCGCTGGATCTCTTTTTAACAAGTTTATTTTAGTCTCCCTCGCTACGCGCGCGGGTCTCTCTCTCGAAATTAATCATTTCAGGGTAAAAACACATCATACAGCTGATAATACTGTATATGTCGCTGCGTGTCAGCCATACAAATCACGAAAAAAATATTTAACCTTTAATTGTTGCTTCAAAGACACAGCATGCCTTGTTGAATTCACCTTACAATCACTTCAATTGAAATTTTGTGTGAAAAAAATTTAAAATAGGCTACAATAAATAAACTACAATATTTATAATTTAATAAGATATGGGGTCTACATTTGGACACAGATTTATCCTTACAATAATTTTGCCTGCTCATCAGGCTGGCTATCCGACACTCTCCATATGAAAGAGGAACATTAACACCTTTGTCCAGCAACTGTCCCTCCAACCCCCCACAGGCTATCGGAGTCTGAGGCTGACTTAACACAAAGAGAAGTCGCAATTCACACTTAAATCCCTATTCTAGACAGTGTTGATAATGAAGGAATTAAATGATTTAAGTTACATGTAGCCTAGTGATATTTCTGTCATAAAAGTTTATTACTAAATATTTCATTATTTCAATAATTGATGAAATAAAACTGGTTTGGGCCAGCTTTTTCCAAGCAAAACTAAATATAACCTGAAAAAACGCTTGTTAATTTGTTGTCATGAACAAAATGTTCAACTCAATATTAAATTCTACAGGGATCTTTGGATCCTTACAAGGCATGCAATTTGTGAATTAAGTTTTTATTTTATTTTGTATTATTCAAATAAATATCGAAACACGGTGCTTCGTGGTAATGCTGCTAAATTAAATAACATTTATAGAATAATTATGAACTTAAATGAAACAATATCACAACATTTCGACAAATACATTATTTGATCTGTTTTTACATTTTAATTCAGGGCGATTTAGCCTACATAGAGCGAGATTTTCACCCTTGTCTTGTCATTTTCTCATTGGGAAGCGCTTACATTGCATGTTTGAGTAGATCCTCTGTACCTCTCGTTAGCCTATATGAATACAAGTTTACAGTTTTGAACGATGTAAGCCTACTCTACTCTTATCTGTATGACCAAAAAATTACGGGGGGGGGGGTTAAAATAATTCAGCAGAAGCAGGGATGTTTAGACCAGAAGGAAATCCTAGTCCCCCCTGGCAAATCACACTTTACTTAAAACCATGTTTTTAAAAAACTCTAGGTTGTACAGACCTCTCTGCCATGCACGCGCATGGTCTGCCTCGCATGCACGCTCGCTCTAGATAGATTACGGGATATTTTAACTAATTTGCGGTATAACTAGTCGATCACGAGTGGCTGAGCCACTCGTGATCTCAACAGGTAGATCTATAGATAAACTATATCTTTTAGGAATTTGACCGACCGGGTTGACACTTCAGCGTGAGAAATCGGGGGTGTGGCGTGAGAGCGTGAGATTTGGGTAAATTGCGTGAGTAGCCTACGCTCACGCTCAATGCGTGAGAGTTGGCAGCCCTGGAAAAAAAAAAAAAATATATATATATATATATATATATATAGGCTATATATAATTAATTTTTTTACAGAACTGCTTTTGAAATTACGATTGGTAGCCTATTATTATACAGATGCAAAGTCGTTCTGTTGGATAGCTACTATTTTGTTCCTTATAGTGTAAAATGGAAATGCATGATAATTGTATTTTATAAATATAAGCAAAAAAAACTGTATGGTGTAACAGAGTTTTAGAGCTAGACAAATCTAAATAAATCTAAAATATACAGCAGACCATGTTTGTGCGGGATTTGAACCCGCGTCATCTTGATGATGAACCGTAAGTTCTACCGCTCGGCTATGAATTTACTCACTGAGAAATACCCGAACGTCTGTTTCTCACATGAGCGATTTTTTCATTTAGCCTGTGAGTGTAGGCCTATACTTGAGCCTTTTACAGTTTTAAAAGATTATATCTTATCTGTATGACCAACAATTATGGATTAGGCTATAAATGTTTGTTGTAGGCTTATTTGGAAATTACCATAACTTGTAGTATTTCATCCTTATAGGCTACAGACATTAGCCCCACTTACGTTTTGCTAAATGTCCCTTTGCGCCACCTGGCGGTCGTTTCGCGAACGACTTTGAAATGCGACTGGTTTATTTTGACCGCGGTGGATGGCTAAAAATGGTATGTGGATGGCTAAAAGGTGTGACTAAAAATGTGCTTTTGGCTTTCATTTATATTTTGATTGTTTGTATATATATATACACACTACCGTTCAAAAGTTTGGGGTCGGTACGATTTTAAATACTTTTAAAAGAATTCTCTTCTGCTAACCATGGCTGCGCTTATTTGATTAAAAATACAACAAAAATCAGTTATAGTATTAAATATTATCTCCAGTGTAAATCAGCTGTTTTCTGTGTGAATATATAGTAAAGTGTAATTTATTCCTGTGATCAAAGCTGAATTTCAGCATCACCAGTGTCAGTGTCTTCAGTGTCAAATGATCCTTCACAAATCAGTACAATATGAGGATTTGATGCTCAAGAAACATTTATTATTATTATCAATGTTGAAACAGTTGTTGGTCTGTCAGTTGTACTTTTTTTTTTTTTTTTTTTTTAGGATTCTTTGATGAATAGGGTTAGGGTTAGAATCTTTTGTAACATTATAAATGTCTTTACTGTCACTTTCGATCAAATGAATTATTCCTTGATAAATAAAAGTATTGATTTCTTTCCTCCAAAAAATAAAAATAAAATTCTCACTGACCCCAAACTTTTGAACGGTAGTGTGTATATATATATATGTGTGTGTGTGTGTGTGTGTGTGTGTGTGTATAAATATTTATTTATTTATATATATATATTGTCCTTGCATTCTTTCTTGTGTGACACCCCTGAATGAAAGGCTCATTAGTATGCAGTCTGCTCAGGTGAGAACTGCCTAATTATTCATGAGGGGGTTGGGCCGTTCCGCCCATCCGCATATTGCCTTTGCAAACAAAAAAATGTTTTTCACAATTTAAAACAATCTATTATTTTATGTGAATGATTAGGCAGAATGATTTTCAGATCAATTCAAAGCAAAAACTCTAGGCAACAACATCCACTAGTCAAAAGTCTTGTGGACAAATATTTAGTATGTTATTTGTGGCCTTATATTAGAAACTTTAGTTTTTAGTTTTTTCAATAACCACGCATAAACAATATTCTCTCAAAAATACAAACATGTATTAACATGTTGTTCACATATTATGGTAGCCCTGTGTGTGCTATATAGAGTGTAATTTCACCTGTGCCATTAATATGTTTATAAGCAACTGAAAAAAGCACAAATGTCAGAGCATGCCAAAACATCTCAAGGACCCCGAAAACACCTCAGACCCCAGAGGGTTAAGCGCAATGGAGCAACTGCGTGTAAAGTGCTGGAAAAGAGAGAGTTAAAAGTTTCTGTTGCAATATCGAGTTCTTCTAAGCTATCTGGGATGCTGAGATGATGAAACTGATCAGGAAGATTATTGATAAAGCAATCTTTAATGGCAGAAGTTATAGGTCTAACATATTTGTAACACGGAGTCGGCTTTGCAGCCTTGGCTAAATTAAGTTTACACCCACTAGATAATGATCTGAGATGTCATCGCTCTGCTGCAGAATTTCAACGGCATCAACATCTATTCCATGAGATAATATTAGATCTAGAGTATGATTACGACAATGAGTAGGTCCTGACACGTGTTGTCTAACTCCAATAGAGTTAAGAATATTTTTAAATGGCAATCCCAATGCACCTTTTTCGTAATCTACATGTATATTAAAATCACCAACAATTAGGACTTTATCTGCAGCCAATACTAACTCTGGTAGAAAGTCAGCAAATTCTTTGATAAAGTCTGTATGGTGGCCTGTATACAGTAGCCAGCACAAATCTCAAAATTAGTGAATCTTTGGTAAATGGACTGCATTTATATAGCGCTTTCACAGACCCAATGGCCACCAAAGCGCTTTACAATTTGCCTCACATTCACCCATTCACTCACTCACTCATACACCGACGGCGGGGTCAGCCATGCAAGGCGCCATCCAGCTCGTCGGGAGCAGCCGGGGTTAGGGGTCTTGCTCATGGACACCTCGACACTTGGTCAGGTGGAACCGGGGATTGAACCACCAACCTTTCGGTTCGCAGACAACCTACATGAACCACTGAGCCACTGCCGCCCCATGGTGAATCTTTGTTCACCATCAAAAAGCGTTGGCTTAAATTAAACAATTTCACAACAATTTAAGTGAGATTGAAGAACGGAGAAAGAAATAGATTAGAAAAATAGATTTTATTAAAGTCAGACAAGGAAACAAAAGACGAAAGCAACGTCAAGATAAAAACAAAAGCAATGAGATAAGAAGTAGATCATCATGTGATGCGTGAGGAGTGTGTCAGCGCAGACGGTCCCAGCGCCAGATGGAGGCGTCGTCACACACAGCGATCAGGATCCCACTGTCCCGACTGAAGCTCGTCTGCCGGATCGCAGAGGTGCACTTGGGGAGGGTGAGCGTCGTACACCTGAGGACACACACACACACACACACACAGGTGAGGAGACACACACACACACACACGGACACATAGGTGAGGAAAGACAGACAGACACACACACACACACACAGGTGAGGACAGACACACACACAAACACACACACACACACAGGTGAGGAGACACACACACACACGGACACACAGGTGAGGAGACACACACACACGGACACACAGGTGAGGACAGACACACACAAACACACACACAGGTGAGGAGACACACACACACGGACACATAGGTGAGGACAGACACACACACAAACACACACACAGGTGAGGAGACACACACACACACGGACACACAGGTGAGGACAGACACACACACAAACACACACACAGGTGAGGAGACACACACACACGGACACATAGGTGAGGACAGACACACACACAAACACACACACAGGTGAGGAGACACACACGGACACATAGGTGAGGACAGACACACACACACAAACACACACACACGGACACATAGGTGAGGAAAGACAGACAGACACACACATACACACAGGTAAGGACAGACACACACACACGGACACACAGGTGAGGACAGACACACACACAAACACACACACAGGTGAGGAGACACACACACACGGACACATAGGTGAGGACAGACACACACACAAACACACACACAGGTGAGGAGACACACACACACACGGACACACAGGTGAGGACAGACACACACACAAACACACACACAGGTGAGGAGACACACACACACGGACACATAGGTGAGGACAGACACACACACAAACACACACACAGGTGAGGAGACACACACGGACACATAGGTGAGGACAGACACACACACACAAACACACACACACGGACACATAGGTGAGGAAAGACAGACAGACACACACATACACACAGGTAAGGACAGACACACACACACACAAACACACGGACACATAGGTGAGGAAAGAAAGACAGACAGACAGACACACACACGGACACATAGGTGAGGACAGACACACACAAACACACACACAGGTGAGGAGACACACACACACGGACACATAGGTGAGGACAGACACACACACAAACACACACAGGTGAGGAGACACACACGGACACATAGGTGAGGACAGACACACACACACACACACAAACACACACACACACACACACACACACACACACAGGTGAGGAGACACACACACACGGACACATAGGTGAGGAAAGACAGACAGACACACACACACACAGGTGAGGACAGACACACACACACAAACACACACACACACACACAGGTGAGGAGACACACACACACGGACACATAGGTGAGGACAGACACACACACAAACACACACACACAGGTGAGGACAGACACACACACAAACAGGTGAGGAGACACACACACACGGACACATAGGTGAGGACAGACACACACACAAACACACACACACACACACACACAGGTGAGGAGACACACACACAGACACATAGGTGAGGACAGACACACACACACTGTTGCCTTGGCTTTTGGCTTGCTTAGTTGGGGACATTTAATATTCAACAATATTATTGATCTGCCTGAAGGTGGACAATGATGCAATTTTCTTCTAGAAACAAACTTCTAGTATTATTTTCATGTTATCACTGTGAAGCTGCTTTGATACAATCTGTATTGTAAAAAGCGCTGTATAAATAAAGGTGACTTGACACACACACACACACACACAGGTGAGGACAGCTGTCAGATGAGGAGTCTTACTTTGCTTTATGAGGATCTTCCACTTCCAGGTCCCAAACGTACAGCTTCCCGACTTGATTTCCCAGAGCAAGCATCTGAGAGGGTGAAGACACACACACACACACTCAACCATCTTCTTACAAACACTAGTTATTGACACTATGTGTCATTAGCTTGCTCTGTTGTCAGTAGCCTACAGTTCACTTGATAGCAGAACGAGACTGAACTCCACTGTATACCTTCTGCCAGAAGTCCATAGAGAAGCGCATGTACCAAATGTCACACTGACTGTAATCAAAGCGGCCGAGAATCGTCACATTAGACTCGTTCGGTTTGATATGGTCAATATCGTCTTCCATTTTCCCAGGTTTCCAACACACAATTGCGTTCTCACATGACTGCGAAACATGATCAAACAAGAGAAATAATAAAGATGAGTGAACGAACATAAGTGTGTGTATGAGCTTGTGTGTTTCGGGTGAAGCACCTTGGAGAGGATCAGGTCTCCGAGCCAGCGCACACAGTCCACGTAGTTCCTGTGGATGTCCCGCGTCGAGAAGTCTGGGAAGTGGATCTTCTGAGACACAAAAGGCCTGAAACCGCATGTAGAAACGACAGGATAAATGAGTCGGCATCAGGGCAGGGAAGTGCACTAGATAGTGAGCACTGACCGGTTGGTTTTGCTGGGGTTGTACTCGTACGAGCCGCGAATGGCTTTCAGCATCCGCTCCGAGTCGATCCTCCACAGCTTCAGCGAGTGGTCCATCCCACACGACATGATCTTCTCCCCGAGCAGGTCAAAATCCTACAAACACACACACACACGTTCATCTATACTACCTTTCTGTTAGTTTTTCATCACCTCACAAACATCATCATCAGCGTGTTTATCATAATGAGACGCACACACACATATACACACAGGGAATCCTCTGAGACTCACCGCACTCAACACCTCGTCCCGATGGCCTTCGACTCCACCAAAGATGGCCACCAGTGTGTCTGTCTGAACGTTCCACAGGCGCAGCGCGTGATCTACACACACACACACACACACACACACACACACACACACACACACACAATGAAACACTGAGCGCTGAACACGCGTGTCCGTCTGCACACGCCTCATTACCTTTACTGACGGACAGCAGCAGGTTCGGGTCCCGCGGGTGAAACTTGAGTTCGTTGATAGCGTTCCCGTGTCCGACGTAATGCTGCGGGCGAGAGGTGTGTGTGTGTGTGAGTGTGACGGAGGAGCAGAAACACACGAGAGAGTTCAGCACAGTCACTGGCTCTCACCTTGACGCACTGCATGGTGATGTGGTTGATGATGCGGATGATCCCGCGTGACCCGGCGACGGCTAGTAACGGGTGACTGGTGCTCGAGTCGAACGTCCAGGCGCAGGTGTAGAAGTTCTCATCAGCCTGACAGAGCGAGAGTGAAGGAATAACACACGCCCACGGCACAAACACACACAGACAGACAAAGTCAGTCAGACAGTTACAATCAGACACACACACACAGTCAGACAGACACACAGTCACTCGCACAGTCAGTCACACACGCACACAATCAGACAGACACGCAGTCAGACACACACACACCAGTCAGACACACACCAGTCAGACACACACACAGTCAGACACACACCAGTCAGACACACACCAGTCAGACACACACACACCAGTCAGACACACACACACCAGTCAGACACACACACAGTCAGACACACACACACCAGTCAGACACACACACAGTCAGACACACACACAGTCAGACACACACACACCAGTCAGACACACACCAGTCAGACACACACCAGTCAGACACACACCAGTCAGACACACACCAGTCAGACACACACCAGTCAGACACACACCAGTCAGACACACACCAGTCAGACACACACCAGTCAGACACACACCAGTCAGACACACACCAGTCAGACACACACAAGTCAGACACACACACAGTCAGACAGACACACACACACACACAGTCAGACAGACACACACACACACACACAGTCAGACACACACCAGTCAGACACACACCAGTCAGACACACACCAGTCAGACACACACCAGTCAGACACACACCAGTCAGACAGACACACAGTCAGACAGACACACACACACACACACAGTCAGACAGACACAGACACACACACAGTCAGACACACACACAGTCAGACACACACACAGTCAGACACACACACAGTCAGACACACACACAGTCAGACACACACACAGTCAGACACACACACAGTCAGACACACACACAGTCAGACACACACACAGTCAGACACACACACAGTCAGACACACACACAGTCAGACACACACACACAGTCAGACACACAGTCAGATAGTCAGTCAGACACAGAGTCAGACACAGAGTCAGACACACAGTCAGACACACAGTCAGACAATCAGTCAGACACACAGTCAGACACACAGTCAGACACACAGTCAGACACACAGTCAGACACACAGTCAGACACACAGTCAGACACACAGTCAGTCAGACACACAGTCAGTCAGACACACAGTCAGTCAGACACACAGTCAGTCAGACACACAGTCAGTCAGACACACAGAGTCAGACACACAGTCAGACACACAGTCAGACACACAGTCAGACACACAGTCAGACACACAGTCAGACACACAGTCAGACACACAGTCAGACACACAGTCAGACACACAGTCAGACACACAGTCAGACACACAGTCAGACACAGTCAGACACACAGTCAGACACACAGTCAGACACACAGTCAGATGGTCAGACACACAGTCAGATGGTCAGACACACAGTCAGATGGTCAGACACACAGTCAGATGGTCAGACACACAGTCAGATGGTCAGACACACAGTCAGATGGTCAGACACACAGTCAGATAGTCAGACACACAGTCAGATAGTCAGACACACAGCCAGACACACACACACAGCCAGACACACACAGTCAGACACACAGTCAGACACACAGTCAGACACACAGTCAGACACACAGTCAGACACACAGTCAGACACACAGTCAGACACACAGCCAGATAGTCAGACACACAGCCACATAGTCAGACACACAGCCAGATAGTCAGACACACAGCCAGATAGTCAGACACAGAACCCGAGCTCTGAGAAGGATACATCAGCATCCACATACGACTGCAGGAGACGAATCTCTCCTTGAGAATGACACTCGTATAGAGTCACCTGCAGGAACAAGACAGAGAATCAGCAGAGACACACGTGTGTGTGTGTGTGTGTGTGTGTGTGTGTGTGTGTGTGTGTGTGTGTGTGTGTGTGTGTGTGTGTGAGAGAGAGTGTGTGTGTTTAATGAATAAGGAGTGAGTCTTCACTCACCCGGTTGCTCCCGACAGTAGCGAACACCAGTGGATCTCCTTCTTTACTATGCCAGTTAAACTGAACCCCGAACAGCGGCTGCCCGTGATCCTCCTGCACGCGTCACAATACACTGTCAAGGTGCCTCACAAGTGCACACTACAGGTGCCACACACTACAGAAACACCACAGGCTCGCTTACCCTCAGACTGTTGACACACTTGAAGGAGTATTTGCATTTCTTGGACTTCCACTTGCCCTTGCCCCAGCTCTTCCTGCCCGGGGCATTAGCAGTGTTGGTCGGAGTGTCCGGCCGCTCCGTGTTGGGTCCGCTCTCCACACTGATCGCATCATCCTGGGAAACACACAAACACACAGAGATGGGGAATCACACAGCGGGTCGGGAAAGGAAAGATGGAGACACATTGGTAAAACATGGAAGCGAATCTGAGCAGAACGTCATAAACCTGTAATATAGAAGCAAAGCTGTTCACACAAACACACTTCACAGAGACCGATCAGGCTTAATGTTGTTATTAATTAGTATTATTATGGGCATTAATAGTAAGACTGACTGGCTTCATCATTCATCGATATAAACACATATAATATATAACACGAATAACTGACTGATGTTATTCTTGACAATACTGAACACACTAACTAAATCAAGCTAATAAACGAAAGTGATTATCTTGCGCTAATGATGAACACACGATAACAGACAAAGAGAACCTTCTCTTCACTCACAAACACACACTTTCAATAAACCTACATTATCGTCTCCGGACAGATCGGGGTTGCTGTTTTCGTCGCTGCTTAATTTCTGTTTTTTGTTATTCGGCATCTCGTTTCCCGCCTCGGCATGAGATTCAGACATCTTCCTCCTCATCTTCTTCCAGCAATGCCACACTGCCGGAAAGCGACTCGCGCGGGCTCGTGCCACACTGCCGGAAAGCCGCGAAACAGCACGACAGCTGCAGTAACACTGAGCGCCAGCAGAGGGAGACAGAACTAGAGGGAACACCACAGAAAACAGAAGCTGAATCCGAAATCGCCCTCTATACCTTTATACGGGGCACTATTCGAGAGGACAGCCATTTGTAGTGGTGTCTGAAACCATAGTTATTTAGTGCACTCATTCAATCCCACACTGCACCGCACAACGGCTGTAGAATACCCATAATGCACTGTGAATGAACTCCCGCGTCTGACCAGAAGATGGCGCCGCTGAATCATCCAGTTTCCAAGCCGCGCTGCACCAGCGTACTATCATACAGGTATACATTCCTTTTAAATTTATTATTAAATTGTTTAATCAAAGTTTATATGCTAGTTTCCATGTCAGAGTTCAAGAAAAATCTTTTCATTACTACTGAAGCTGCTAGTTCCCTACGTTTCAAATGATTAATATTGTTAAACAGCAACCAGCAGTGTCTGCCATTCACTCCTCAAGTGCACTATGTAGTGGAGTAATGTAGGGATCAGGGAATGGGGGATAGGGGGCGATTTCGACCACAGCAAGAGTTTAACAATAAAGTTTAATGCAAAGTTTTCATGGCTTAAGTGCGATAATAGTTCACACACAGTGACACTCTTTTTTTTTTTTTTTTTTTTGATGTGACTTAGGTTCAGGTATAAAATAAACTACAGTCTCAAATGTGTAAACTAGACCGTCGTCTTCATCATTATGTGTGTGTTGATTATATTGAAGTATAATGGAGTGATTGTGATCATGATTCAGACTGACAGAATCAGATGATCATCAGTGATGTTAGATCAGTCGTGTTGTTTGTCTTCATTGTTAATCCTGATGCTTTATTTTATGTGAGTATTTACGATCCTGAATCTGTGTCTTCATTGGCTTCTGCTGTGACTGACGAACACACACACACACACACACACACACACACACACACACACACACACACACACACGGGTTTAAAGCCTGAACGGGACATAAACCCTAACCATGTCTCTCAGATCTGATGTGATGTTGATCCAGGAACATGTTGTAAATAAATCAGAGTTTCCACGGCCGATTGAGGAAGACTCTGAGGAAAACTGTGTGATAGTCTGTAAAGCGGATGTGTGTGTGTGTGTGTGTGTAATATTCTAGTCAAATCATCTATAAAAAGACTGTGTGTGTCAATGAATATTCTAGTCAAATCATCTATAAAAAGACAGTGTGTGTGTGTGTGTGTGATGACACATCAGTGCTGGGAATGTGACAGGAAGTAGAAGCACCTGCAGGAGGAAGTGGAGCTCGACTGTCAGCACTGATGCTGCGTTCCGATCGCCTACTAACCCTAACGCCCTAAAGTATGTAGCCTACTCTGTTTGTGAAGAAAAAGTAGATACTTTTGAGTGTGTAGCAGAAGAGTAGATAAGCTGTGGGACACACTTTCATCACATCATAAAATAGCGTCTAGCGGTTGCTCTCTCTCTTAGTTATACTTATCCTGTCACTTAAACTGACCTGTCAATCATCCTGTCACTTAAACTGACCTGTCAATCGTCCAGTCACTTAAACTGACCTGTCAATCATCCTGTCACTTAAACTGACCTGTCAATCATCCTGTCAAAGATAAAATCCTCCACAATTGACCCTTCGCTAAGCCCCGCCCTCCCTAGTTACGGTTGCTAAGACGCGATTGGCCAGTGGCGGTTTTCGGGCGTGGCTTAGCGAAGGGTCAATTAATTGAATGTAATTTTCTACTGTATGGGAGAGAAATGAAGCGTTGATCTGCAGCCGCGGGTCTTTCATGCGACGCTCCTCATATTCATGCATAGCAATCTATTCAAAAGTTAATGGCCAAACAGATCTTTATAAAAGATCACGTTGTTGTTGCAGCTGAAATATAACACGGATAACATTACATAAATATTTTTTATCAGTATAAATGTTGATTATTAGTCACTCAAACCCCTTTATCCAAACCCCTAAAAAAATAATGTGAAAATATTAAGTTGTTAATATTTAATTTAATCTATGGTTTAAGATCCGACTGCTTGAAATCCTCGATCCGACTCGAATTACCAGTTTATCAGGATCACACCGAAAGTACATTCAGACACTCGAGCTTGAGAAGCAAGTTCCTTGTTATGATCCAGTCGAGGGGAAGATTCAGAAAAGTGAAAGAGCAGTCGTTCGTTCAGTGGTTGAAACTTAATCTGTGGTTGAACAGACTTTGAAACCCCCAGACCAATGAAACTGTTTATTATCTTCACATTCAGATGATCTTCATTTGAATAATATTTGTCCTGCTTGTATCAGGTTTTGTTGTAACCTCATACAAGATATTACTTCTGAAACAAACACCCAGAGTAACTGACACTGAATGTTGAGTATGACGAGAATCACTGCGGTTCACTGAACGCTGAGAATATTGTGGATTCATGTTTTTGTAAACGTGACAGAAGAAGGAAATGCAGAAGTCGAGGTTAAAGCTGAGGATGCTTCATTTGACTAGAGCGTCCCCAAATGTCCTCTCGAGTTTCACCAGACTCGGAGTAAGAGGAAACCTTCTGCTTCCCTATAGTAAAAATAAAACTTGCATAAGTGAGGGGATTCTCTGGGATATACTTTTCAAATCTATTTTCAGTGTCTTCCGTGTGCCTATTGTATGTATATGAATGTGAAATTTTGTCATTGTGATTTTAAGGTCAAAGTTTGTTTGCAGATGAACACGGCTGTGACAGAGACTTTCCCAGGTAAACACTTCAACAGGTACTGTGCCAGTAAACGTCATTGATACGGTGAATATTAGCACTATTACTGCCTTTTTCATGAGTTCCTGTAAGTCATGTTGAGGTGTGTGCTTGTTTTCCACATATTCAGTGTGATTATTTCCTGGTCGGGATCAGTTTTCTGTGCTTTTGTTCTGAAATGTGTTGAAAGCTGAAACACTCGTGAGAACAGAGGAAAACAAAACTTTATTTAAGGTTGGGTTACAGTTGACAAAAATCTAACTTACAGAATATCGAGTGACCTGCAGGGAAACACTAGCCCACTCCTGCTATAATACACACAGAACACGAACCCATCACCACACAAACACAAGCATCATGCAGATTCTTTAATACGAGCGGTTATAATGCACTGACGCCATCTCTCTGCTTTCATAAAGAAACACCTTTAACCATATTTTAATGCAGGTTTTACTATTGATTCTGAGAATAACAGTTCAAACTAAATAATCTGAATATTGATCCAGGATAATAATTAGAGGACTTCTAGAGAATCACATGACCTCACAAAAAAGTTAATAATCAATGGAAGAAAGTCCCAAAGTGACATGCTGAAACACGCCTTGAGTCAACAATCAAGGACGTTCTGGTCCAACTGGTTTAAAGTTACTGATTACCATCTCCGATAGAGACTGTTGATAATGTTTAACATGCAAACCTTGAAAGTAAAAATAACAACAATACGCATATAGTTATATTGTTTGGAGATTATGGTTTACAACCCTTTACACACTAAACGCAACGTGACTTCAGATCTGCACTGAACAAGAGAAGGAGATTCACTGTTTAACCCAGTCACTGAATCTGACGACTTCACTCTCTTCCTCTTTATTATTACTTGTGGAATAATCCACCCTAACCTTCCCAAACACTGATCCCTCTTCTATTGCCAGGCAGATTCTCTGAACCGTTGCTCTCACTTTCCTGTGCCGTCTACTACTCAGTAGTGAACAATGATAAAACTGTTTCATTGAAACAACCGACATCTGCCTGAAGGTGGCAAATGGTTCTGTACATGATCCGGACTGCCTGACTGACAGCGATTCCTGTGGGACGAAGGGTGTTCGGTGTTCAGGAGCGGGACTGCACTCCTTTACCTTTCAGGATCCGACGCACCTGTGGAGAGAGGAGGAACAGGGTGAGTGGAAACTGTGGAGAAGAGGAGGAACAGGGTGAGTGGAAACTGTGGAGAGAGGAGGAACAGGGTGAGTGGAAACTGTGGAGAAGAGGAGGAACAGGGTGAGTGGAAACTGTGGAGAGAGGAGGAACAGGGTGAGTGGAAACTGTGGAGAAGAGGAGGAACAGGGTGAGTGGAAACTGTGGAGAGAGGAGGAACAGGGTGAGTGGAAACTGTGGAGAGAGGAGGAACAGGGTGAGTGGAAACTGTGGAGAAGAGGAGGAACAGGGTGAGTGGAAACTGTGGAGAAGAGGAGGAACAGGGTGAGTGGAAACTGTGGAGAAGAGGAGGAACAGGGTGAGTGGAAACTGTGGAGAGAGGAGGAACAGGGTGAGTGGAAACTGTGGAGAAGAGGAGGAACAGGGTGAGTGGAAACTGTGGAGAAGAGGAGGAACAGGGTGAGTGGAAACTGTGGAGAAGAGGAGGAACAGGGTGAGTGGAAACTGTGGAGAAGAGGAGGAACAGGGTGAGTGGAAACTGTGGAGAAGAGGAGGAACAGGGTGAGTGGAAACTGTGGAGAAGAGGAGGAACAGGGTGAGTGGAAACTGTGGAGAAGAGGAGGAACAGGGTGAGTGGAAACTGTGGAGAAGAGGAGGAACAGGGTGAGTGGAAACTGTGGAGAAGAGGAGGAACAGGGTGAGTGGAAACTGTGGAGAAGAGGAGGAACAGGGTGAGTGGAAACTGTGGAGAAGAGGAGGAACAGGGTGAGTGGAAACTGGAGAGAGGAGGAACAGGGTGAGTGGAAACTGTGGAGAAGAGGAGGAACAGGGTGAGTGGAAACTGTGGAGAGAGGAGGAACAGGGTGAGTGGAAACTAGAATGACGCCAGACTGGGCTGTTCAGCAGAAGAGCCTCAGGGAGTGATATAGAGTTATATAACACTGAGTCTGATCCCGGGTCTGATCCGATCTGAGTGATATATCGAGTTAAATAACCCTGATCCCAGCTCTCTCACCTGTTCTCCCAGTGGACCCTCGGGCACCAGTTGGGCCGGCTGCTCGTTCTCCAGGTTCTTGGCGCTGGGATCGGCTCCTCGTCTCATCAGTAACTGGACCGCCTCCACCTGAGCCTGGCGACCCTGCAGAGCGCTAGCCATGTGGAGTGCCGTGTTCCCGCTGAACGCCTGTCGATGACATCACACAGCGGTCACATGATGCCCAGCGAGCGGTCACATGATGCCCAGCACCACACAACACTCTCACTAACCTTTGCGTTTATGACGGAGAAGTAGCTGGGCTGATCCAGGAACAGGCGCAGGAGCTCGACGTTAGCCTCTTCAGCAGCCATATGTACAGCGGAGCGCCCACTCTTACGGTCCTGTGGGAAACATGGGACAGCGTGAGTCGGGGACAGACGGCACTGGTGACTAGTGTGTGACAGAAGTGTGACGGAGGCGTGACTGTAGCGTGACAGATGCGTGACGGAGGCGTGACTGTAGCGTGACAGATGCGTGACGGAGGCGTGACTAGTGTGTGACAGAAGCGTGACAGAAGCAGGACTGTAGCGTGACGGAGGCGTGACTGTAGCGTGACGGAGGCGTGACTGTAGCGTGACAGAAGAATGACTGTAGCGTGACTGTAGCGTGACTGTAGTGTGACTGTAGCGTGACAGAAGCATGACTGTAGCGTGACGGAGGCGTGACTGTCGCGTGACGGAGGCGTGACTGTAGCGTGACGGAGGTGTGACTAGTGCATGACAGAAGCGTGACGGAGGCGTGACTGTAGCGTGACGGAGGCGTGACTGTAGCATTACAGAAGCATGACTGTAGCGTGACGGAGGCGTGACTGTAGCGTGACGGAGGCGTGACTGTAGCGTGACGGAGGCGTGACTGTAGCGTGACAGAAGAATGACTGTAGCGTGACTGTAGCGTGACTGTAGTGTGACTGTAGCGTGACAGAAGCATGACTGTAGCGTGACGGAGGCGTGACTGTCGCGTGACGGAGGCGTGACTGTAGCGTGACGGAGGTGTGACTAGTGCATGACAGAAGCGTGACGGAGGCGTGACTGTAGCGTGACGGAGGCGTGACTGTAGCATTACAGAAGCATGACTGTAGCGTGACGGAGGCGTGACTGTAGCGTGACTGTAGCGTGACGGAGGCGTGACTGTAGCGTGACTGAGGCGTGACTGTAGCGTGACTGAGGCGTGACTGTAGCGTGACGGAGGCGTGACTGTAGCGTGACTGTAGTGTGACGAGGCGTGACTGTAGTGTGACGGAGGCGTGACAGAAGCGTGACTGTAGCGTGACGGAGGCGTGACTGTAGCATGACTGTAGCGTGACTGTAGCGTGACTGAGGCGTGACTGTAGCGTGACGGAGGCGTGACTGTAGCGTGACTGAGGCGTGACTGTAGTGTGACGAGGCGTGACTGTAGTGTGACGGAGGCGTGACAGAAGCGTGACTGTAGCATGACGGAGGCGTGACTGTAGCGTGACTGTAGTGTGACGAGGCATGACTTTAGTGTGACGGAGGCGTGACAGAAGGTGACGGAGGCGTGACTGTAGTGTGACGGAGGCGTGACAGAAGCGTGACGGAGGCGTGACTGTAGTGTGACGGAGGCGTGACAGAAGCGTGACGGAGGCGTGACAGAAGCGTGACGGAGGCGTGACTGTAGTGTGACGGAGGCGTGACTGTAGTGTGACGGAGGCGTGACGGAGTCATAACTGTAGCGTGACTGTAGTGTGACGGAGGCGTGACAGAAGCGTGACGGAGGCGTGACAGAAGCGTGACGGAGGCGTGACTGTAGTGTGACAGAGGCGTGACAGAAGCGTGACGGAGGCGTGACTGTAGTGTGACGCAGGCGTGACAGAAGCGTGACGGAGGCGTCTGTAGTGTGACAGAGGCGTGACGGAGGCGTGACTGTAGTGTGACAGAGGCGTGACGGAGGCGTGACTGTAGTGTGACAGAGGCGTGACTGTAGTGTGACGGAGGCGTGACAGAAGCGTGACGGAGGCGTGACTGTAGTGTGACGGAGGTGTGACTAGTGCATGACAGAAGCGTGACGGAGGCGTGACTGTAGCGTGACGGAGGCGTGACTGTAGCATTACAGAAGCATGACTGTAGCGTGACGGAGGCGTGACTGTAGCGTGACGGAGGCGTGACTGTAGCGTGACTGTAGCGTGACTGTAGCGTGACAGAGGCATGACTGTAGTGTGACGGAGGCGTGACAGAAGCGTGACGGAGGCGTGACTGTAGTGTGACGGAGGCGTGACAGAAGCGTGACGGAGGCGTGACTGTAGTGTGACGGAGGCGTGACTGTAGTGTGACAGAGGCGTGACAGAGGCGTGACTGTAGCGTGACAGAGGCGTGACTGTAGCGTGACTGTAGTGTGACTGTAGCGTGACGGAGGCATGACTGTAGCGTGACAGAGGCATGACTGTAGTGTGACGGAGGCGTGACAGAAGCGTGACGGAGGCGTGACTGTAGTGTGACGGAGGCGTGACAGAAGCGTGACGGAGGCGTGACTGTAGTGTGACGGAGGCATGACTGTAGCGTGACAGAGGCATGACTGTAGTGTGACGGAGGCGTGACAGAAGCGTGACGGAGGCGTGACTGTAGTGTGACGGAGGCGTGACAGAAGCGTGACGGAGGCGTGACTGTAGTGTGACGGAGGCATGACTGTAGCGTGACAGAGGCATGACTGTAGTGTGACGGAGGCGTGACAGAAGCGTGACGGAGGCGTGACTGTAGTGTGACGGAGGCGTGACAGAAGCGTGACGGAGGCGTGACTGTAGTGTGACGGAGGCATGACTGTAGCGTGACAGAGGCATGACTGTAGTGTGACGGAGGCGTGACAGAAGCGTGACGGAGGCGTGACTGTAGTGTGACGGAGGCGTGACAGAAGCGTGACGGAGGCGTGACTGTAGTGTGACAGAGGCGTGACGGAGGCGTGACTGTAGCGTGTTTACCTTGGCCTCCAGCGAGGCGCCCATGAGCATCAGTGTGCCGATGCACTCGCTGAGCATCTTCCTCTTCTGCTGCAGAGCCGGACTCTGAGACACACACTGCTCCTGCACTGCTGCATTGTGGGACAGCACCGCCACGTGCAGAGGAGTGAGGCCTACAGACACACACACACACGAGGTTAGAGCCCGTTTTATGTGCTGGGGAGTAAACACTGTTAACCAGGACAGATGAAGAGTTCACTGACCGTCGTAGTTGACCACCTCCACATCGAGCGCTCTCCCGCTAGTCTGCACGCTTCTCTGGATGGCCTGAGGGAAACAGCGAGTTTCTTACTCACGCTAGTCACAACTCACAAGACAACAGAGTAAACAGGTCTGAACATGCACTGCATTCTGGGAGAAGGGAGGCGTTCTGCATGAATGCTACAGTAGCGTGACGGGTAACGACTGCAGAGACGGTTGCGTGTCACGACCCGTCAACACTTCTTGGCTGGCAGAAACACAGGCATGTTGGTTTGGGCTCTTATCAAAGGCATTGTTGTGCTGCCGCTCGAGGGGAATTTTCCACTGGACTGCATGGCGCTTTTTTGAGGAAATGCATATTATTCAAGCATGTTATGAGGAAGTTAGCGAGCGCCTGGTTAAATAAACACAGAGCATCAAGATTGAATGATAGACCAGGACTGTTGATAGATGAGATAATGACACCAGCTAACTGACGCATGCGCAGGCTAACAAGGAAACACTGTCATTCTTCACGAGTGTAGGTTAGGTTGGGCCAGGATGAGTGAATTCAACAACTGACTTGTCAATTAACGAGTTCGACTAGTGAGGTCAATTCGTAAAGGAGCATTTATCTATTTAAATTTATTAGACCATAAGCGTGCTAATAGTGGGCTAACAGTTAGCATGGTAAAACTATGAGAAGTTTAGTTTTAATTCATCTGATGTGAAGCTTCGCTTTTGAACAGATTCAGTCCTGCTGAATCCACAGGTTTATTATTAAGTGTTGTAGAGCCCTAAGAAATCCATTTTATTATTTTTTCGGCTTTTTTTTTGGACTCAATTTTAATGTTTAGGAGGGATATAACGCACATACAGCTTTGCAAACCACTGGCAAAAGTAGCCTAATGATTATGAAAGTAAAAAAAGCAAGAAGACATTTTAATTGTTTATTAATAAACTAGTGTTTTCTGAGTCGGTGTCGGCTGCAGAGATGAAGTTGACGATCTCATTTCCGCAGTATAGTGAAAGCAAATCACTTTTCATTTGGATTAGATAGGCCCTGTCCCAAATGGCACACTCCGGACTTGTGGACACTTCGGTGACGTCATGTAGTGCAGACCTATAGGGCCCTTAGCGCGAGTCCGCGAGGGCGCATTGAGAGGTATTTTTGGGACAGACTCGATCGTCACGCCGGAAACAGGAAGACGGTCTGATTGTTGTTATGGACAGGAGCTACAGGTTCGGGGAAATATGCTGCCTATTGTTGTTGTGTTCACATGTGACTCAGTAAAGCCCTGACATTCTGATCTATTTATTTAATGAATCATAATGCGATTTTACCATTTCACTTGAGAAAAACTATCGTCATCTCATAAACACACTGGAACTCAAAGGTCTTCATGGCAACCCATCAAAATGAATGTTCTGTTTAACTTGAAATTGTGACAGAAACATATTACTGTTTTAGCAGTACTGTTTACTGTTGGAGCGCGTGCTCCAGTTCCTCCTGCAGTCGAAGACGGAACAACTTTCTGCTCGTAAGTTTATTCTGCGCTGTCAAGTGCTTCATCAGATTTGTTGTGTTACCGGACTTGACAGCAATGATCTTGTCACAAATATTGCAAAAAGCATGTCTTATCAATTGAATTCATAACAACAATTTATTAATTTAAAAATAAAATGTAATTTCTAAGAAAAGTTTTTTTTGTGTATTTAATTTAATTTTTTATGCCAATCAAATTAAGGCATAAAATATACATTTAATTTTTCTTTTAATCATGAAATTAAACTAACCCTTTTGTCAAACAAAGTGCTGCACAAAAATAAGTTTAAATTATAATTTGTTATTATCAGTGTGAGTATTATTAGCACATTGAGATTAGATAAATTCTAAAACAGTAATATATTTCTGTCACAATTTCAAGTTAAACAGAACATTTATTTTGATGGGTTGCCATGAAGACCTTTGAGTTCCAGTGTGTTTATGAGATGACGATAGTTTTTCTCAAGTGAAATGGTAAAATGCGACTTCGAGTTGCTTTGGAGATGAAGTTCATGCATTCATATCGGGATGAAAATAAAAATACAGCGGGCGTCATGTGTCCTTCAGTGTGTGTGGGAAATGAAACCATATATATGTCGAGATTTGATTTAAGTGTACTGACCTGCTGATTATTTACTAATAAAATTTTTTTTGAGTTACAGGAGTACCTGCGGTGTGGGGGCGGAGTAACAGGAGTACCTGCAGTGTGGGGGCGGAGTAACAGGAGTACCTGCAGTGTGGGGGCGGAGTGACAGGAGTACCTGCAGTGTGGGGGCGGAGTAACAGGAGTACCTGCGGTGTGGGGGCGGAGTAACAGGAGTACCTGCAGTGTGGGGGCGGAGTAACAGGAGTACCTGCAGTGTGGGGGCGGAGTAACAGGAGTACCTGCAGTGTGGGGGCGGAGTAACAGGAGTACCTGCAGTGTGGGGGCGGAGTAACAGGAGTACCTGCAGTGTGGGGGCGGAGTAACAGGAGTACCTGCAGTGTGGGGGCGGAGTAACAGGAGTACCTGCGGTGTGGGGGCGGAGTAACAGGAGTACCTGCAGTGTGGGGGCGGAGTAACAGGAGTACCTGCAGTGTGGGGGCGGAGTAACAGGAGTACCTGCAGTGTGGGGGCGGAGTAACAGGAGTACCTGCAGTGTGGGGGCGGAGTAACAGGAGTACCTGCAGTGTGGGGGCGGAGTAACAGGAGTACCTGCAGTGTGGGGGCGGAGTAACAGGAGTACCTGCAGTGTGGGGGCGGAGTAACAGGAGTACCTGCGGTGTGGGGGCGGAGTAACAGGAGTACCTGCGGTGTGGGGGCGGAGTAACAGGAGTACCTGCAGTGTGGGGGCGGAGTAACAGGAGTACCTGCAGTGTGGGGGCGGAGTAACAGGAGTACCTGCAGTGTGGGGGCGGAGTAACAGGAGTACCTGCAGTGTGGGGGCGGAGTAACAGGAGTACCTGCAGTGTGGGGGCGGAGTAACAGGAGTACCTGCGGTGTGGGGGCGGAGTAACAGGAGTACCTGCGGTGTGGGGGCGGAGTAACAGGAGTACCTGCAGTGTGGGGGCGGAGTAACAGGAGTACCTGCAGTGTGGGGACGGAGTAACAGGAGTACCTGCAGTGTGGGGGCGGAGTAACAGGAGTACCTGCAGTGTGGGGGCGGAGTAACAGGAGTACCTGCAGTGTGGGGGCGGAGTAACAGGAGTACCTGCAGTGTGGGGGCGGAGTAACAGGAGTACCTGCGGTGTGGGGGCGGAGTAACAGGAGTACCTGCGGTGTGGGGGCGGAGTAACAGGAGTACCTGCAGTGTGGGGGCGGAGTAACAGGAGTACCTGCAGTGTGGGGGCGGAGTTACAGGAGTACCTGCAGTGTGGGGGCGGAGTAACAGGAGTACCTGCAGTGTGGGGACGGAGTAACAGGAGTACCTGCAGTGTGGGGGCGGAGTAACAGGAGTACCTGCAGTGTGGGGGCGGAGTAACAGGAGTACCTGCAGTGTGGGGGCGGAGTAACAGGAGTACCTGCAGTGTGGGGGCGGAGTTACAGGAGTACCTGCAGTGTGGGGGCGGAGTAACAGGAGTACCTGCAGTGTGGGGGCGGAGTTAAAGGAGTACCTGCAGTGTGGGGGCGTGGCCCTTCTCAGCACACACGTGTAACGGGGACCGGCCCCAGGAGTCCAGGGTGTTGATCTCAGCGCCGAGAGAAAGCAGGTCTTGTGCGATCAGGTGCTGATCTGCAGCAACACTGACCTGGAACGCGCTCTGATTGGAGGAAGCATGAGATCAGATGAGTAACAGTAACAACAGGGTGTGTCCACAGGTGTGTATTCACAGGTAATCCCATCGGTTAAGGGAGTGATTTCTCGGGGCTGTACCTGCTGGTTGTGTTCCTTCATGTCCAGCATGTCAATGGCGGCCATTTTCCTGGCGAGGACGTAAGCCAGAGCTCTCCTGCCCTGAGCCACTGCGATGTGCAAGAACCTGCGAATCAGACACAATCACTGATTCTATGATCACAGATCACGATTCTCTATGATTCTCAGCCTGTGATTCTCCAACTCCAATATCAGTAATGATCTGAAGACTCACGTGTCTCCGTCTCCGTCTCGAGTGCTGAGCTCCACCGGACTGAGAGCCGCCAGTTTCTGCTCCTCCTGCTCGATCTGCCACTGGAAGAAGGACACTGGGACGGCTGGGGTCACATGGTGTGTGTGCGCTGGGATGGAGTGTGTGTAAGAGCAGCTAGTGTACAGGGGCAGAAGAGACTCACGACACACACTCTCAGCTTCAGTGAACAGGCCCAGAAGAGACTCCGGACCCCGAGCTGGAGCACACACACTCTCAGCTCCAGAGAGAGACTCACGACACACACTCTCAGCTCCAGAGAGAGACTCACGACACACACGCACTGGGCATCCGCTCACGCTCACGGACTCGATGGACAGCACCTCGCCGATGTCCTGCAGCATCTCAGCGTCGAAGAGCGGGTTCTCACCGCGAACACATGCAGACTGAGAGAAACACACAGCAAGAGTTCAACAGTTACAGGATCATGTGGATGTGAACAGGGAACTACATCAGCACTAACACACACACACACACACACACACACACACTGAGGGCTGATTGTAGGCCTGTAAGGGTTCATCACCACACAAGACCAATCGTCACTAGATCGTCTCTTGCTTCGGATTTGAGAAGTTTCAAAACTAATTTAAATAAAATTGATTTCGAATTACCTATACTCTACGCTAAGATTCTTATTAAACTGTATAAGACAGAAGAACAAAACACACACAGATCTTTTTCCATTAGAATCACAGAAAGATGAGACACTGAATATTAGACGCACCCGAATGTTTCCGTCTGCGACTCGTTTCGCCAGATAGTGCGCCGGACTCTCCGCTCGCCTCTTCGTTCCCTGCAGCAAATGAGTCACGGCTACAAAAAACAGGAAATTAATTTTCCAGCCATTTTTGACAAACAACTTCCTTGTACTATTAGAACTCATAACTGCATACAGTGATGTAGTTACCTGGATATTCACTTTCATATTGATATTGCTGAGTCTGTGAATAAGCAAATAATTATGTCCATTAATAATACAATACGAAATACAGCACTGTGGATTTATAAACCCCGTCATAAAACATGAAATAATGTGTTGTAATAAGCACCTGGATGTCGTGATGGCGCTTCTGCAGGATCAGCTCTTTGACTGTGTTCTTCACTCGAACACCTTGATAGTGACTCCGTTTACGCTCTTCTACAATTAAACATCATTTACTTTAATCCCTTTAATTACTGTCCTCTGAAACACTGAATAACATACTTTTGACAGTCTAGTTGCACAAACTTAAATAATAGTTTGACCAACAAGCAGTTAGTCAAGTGGTAATCAGTTATACTTTTCAGATTTAAATGAGAAAAATCGACCTTTTTATGTATATGGATTTAAAAAAAAAGTTATGATCAGTCTTGTGGGAAAAACACATTAAATGACTAACTTGTTTGACTTGTCTAAGCAGTTTACGCAATAGTTTTATTCACCAACACATTGTTTTCTTGACTCCCATTCGGTTCGCTAAATTAAATTAAATTAAATTTTTCGTTTTAATTATAAGTATTACATAGTGATTTGTTATTTCCTACCGTTGGCGGAGTTCCGCGGGCTTCCCGCATCGCTCCAGCTCTGGTCCGGGTCCGGGTCCGAGTCCGAGTTCGGGGACCCGGCAGACAGGTTCGGTTCTGTGGGAGAAGAACAACCGTAGAACGACCACAGGTGGACCGGGCTGGTCATAACATCGGTGTCCCGGTCCAGAAGACACGAGAATTCCTCAGAAACTCTGTCAATTATCATGTTCTCTTGCTGTGACGCGCGTCTGAGCGTTTGATCTGAATGATGCGACGCGACACTGACTGGAGAACTTATTAGCTCGTGACGTGCGCCGTGACGTCAGGACACGCCTTAATTAATACTTCAGGATTACACAACGGCTCTGGATCACACGCACCAGCATTCAAAATCATTTATGTAATTAAAATATAATTAAAACAACATTATGAGAGATGATTGGGCTATGTCGTTTTAACGAAATAACATCTCATTATTACCACATATTATGCCGTTAAAATTACATATTTTCTTGGCCTTAAAATGACGTAGTCATGTACAAAATATGCCTTTATCCACATAAAATGTATCTAGCCTATCATGCCTTTATCATACTTCTACGTTCAAAAAGCTGAAGCAATAGCAGCCCCCGATCCGAGGCGAACACTGACTGGCCCAGGCAAAATTAATCAGTGAGGCCCTTTTCTAAAATATATGTTACATAGGCCTATACGTTTTTTAATATATAAAATATTAATATATAAGATTTATTTTTGTTAATAGGCTACATCTTCATTACCTAGAGATTTAATTAAACAAAAAATTAGTCAAAATACATCTAACAGAACAAATCCTAAGTTGTTTATTTTTTTTAAAACATTGTGTTCTTATTTTTTTTTTTATTAACGAAATGTCAATCTTCATCTTTATAACAGAAGATACAATATAATACACAAATCTTCAAGATACAGCCTACAATCTTCACATGTATAACGGATTGTCACCTGTGGCGGAATAAGCAATGCTATATAGAAATATATGGTTAGCATCTTAATTCAAACTCTATTTTATTATTTTATTAGTTCATTAACTAATTATGCTAACTCAACTAATTTAATGTAAAGAGCTGGATACTAATTCCTAATTTAATAATGTCAAGTATTAAATGGAGGCTATTGATTAGAGTTGCCATATATAGACTAAAGATTTTTGAGTAAAGATAAACTAGTGTTTTCTGAATCAGTGTCGGCTGCAGAATCTCCGTGAGAGAGAAACGCACCTTCACACGGACAGGGTTACATAATCAGACGGAACCGTACTTGCTTTCGATGCGACTTTTTCCATTGGTGGGCATTTCCAGCTTTATAGCTCTATTTCTCATGTCTGAGAGTCTAACGCTGCTGTTCAGTTCATCTTTGAGACGCGCTCCAGTTCACAGAGACCATGAAGCGCGTCCTGTTCGTTTTCTTTTCTTTTACTAAAGCACAATGTTTTCTTGTTATTGTGAGTTTACGAACGATGTATTATTGTTTTTTGTTTGACCAGAAATGATGTTGATTAAGTTAAGTTGTTTCCACAGTTGATAGGAAACTGCGAGTGATCGCGCCGGCGCCTCCGCGTCAGGGTGCGGATCCACTTGTCCGTGCGATACTTCTGTCGCGCCGCGCTCCGCTTTATTCCTATGGGTGACGTCACGTGACTTTAACGCGCCCTTCATTTGGAAAAATGCTGCGCGTCAAAAAGCTGGCCGATGCCCATCTTTATGCAAATTAATTCCGTTGAACCCGACGCGACTATCCAATAGAAGTAGAGCATATGGAGACGGGGGGAAGTCTCTCGCAGGTCCTCTGTTCTAGACTGGCCGCTGGCTCAAAACCACGCCCATAGCGCTAAACTTGAGGAACGCTCCACACTCGCGTCAGGCAGTGCGCGCTCCACACTCGCGTCAGGCAGTACGCGCTCCACACTCCCGTCAGGCAGAGCGCGCTCCACACTCGCGTCAGGCAGTGCGCGCTCCACACACGCGTCAGGCAGTGCGCGCTCCACACTCGCGTCAGGCAGAGCGCGCTCCACACTCCCGTCAGGCAGAGCGCGCTCCACACTCGCGTCAGGCAGCGCGGGCTCCGCGCTCGCGTCAGGCAGCGCGGGCTCCGCGCTCGCGTCAGGCAGCGCGCGCTCTACGCTCGCGTCAGGCAGCGCGCGCTCCACGCTCGCGTCAGGCAGCGCGCGCTCCACGCTCGCGTCAGGCAGCGCGCGCTCCACGCTCGCGTCAGGCAGCGCGCGCTCCACGCTCGCGTCAGGCAGTGCGCGCTCCACGCTCGCGTCAGGCAGTGCGCGCTCCACGCTCGCGTCAGGCAGTGCGCGCTCCACGCTCGCGTCAGGCAGTGCGGGCTCCACAATCGCGTCAGGCAGAGCGCGCTCCACACTCGCGTCAGGCAGAGCGCGCTCCACACTCGCGTCAGGCAGTGCGGGCTCCACAATTGCGTCAGGCAGAGCGCGCTCCACACTCGCGTCAGGCAGAGCGCGCTCCACACTCGCGTCAGGCAGAGCGCGCTCCACAATCGCGTCAGGCAGAGCGCGCCCCACACTCGCGTCAGGCAGAGCGCGCTCCACGCTCGCGTCAGGCAGTGCGGGCTCCACGCTCGCGTCAGGCAGAGCGCGCTCCACGCTCGCGTCAGGCAGAGCGCGCTCCACGCTCGCGTCAGGCAGAGCGCGCTCCACGCTCGCGTCAGGCAGTACGCGCTCCACGCTCGCGTCAGGCAGAGCGCGCTCCACACTCGCGTCAGGCAGAGCGCGCTCCACACTCGCGTCAGGCAGAGCGCGCTCCACACTCGCGTCAGGCAGTGCGGGCTCCACACTCGCGTCAGGCAGTGCGCGCTCCACACTGGCGTCAGGCAGTGCGGGCTCCACACTCGCGTCAGGCAGTGCGCGCTCCACACTCGCGTCAGGCAGAGCGCGCTCCACACTCGCGTCAGGCAGCGCGGGCTCCGCGCTCGCGTCAGGCAGCGCGCGCTCTACGCTCGCGTCAGGCAGTGCGCGCTCCACACTGGCGTCAGGCAGTGCGCGCTCCACACTCGCGTCAGGCAGAGCGCGCTCCACACTGGCGTCAGGCAGTGCGCGCTCCACACTCGCGTCAGGCAGAGCGCGCTCCACACTCGCGTCAGGCAGAGCGCGCTCCACACTCGCGTCAGGCAGTGCGCGCTCCACACTCGCGTCAGGCAGTGCGCGCTCCACACTCGCGTCAGGCAGAGCGCGCTCCACACTCGCGTCAGGCAGTGCGCGCTCCACACTCGCGTCAGCGCGTCAGGCAGTGCGCGCTCCACACTCGCGTCAGCGCGTCAGGCAGTGCGCGCTCCACACTCGCGTCAGGCAGAGCGCGCTCCACACGATTGGAACTTTGGCACCATTGACTTCCATAGTAGAAAAAAAATACTGCCAAAGTTCCAGTCGTTCTTCAAAATATCTTCCTTTGTGTTCAGCAGAAGAATAAAACTCATACAGGTTTGCAACAACTTGAGGGTGAGTAAATGATGACAGGATTTTCATTTTTGGGTGGAGTATCCCTTTAAGACTTTTCTTTGTAATAAGGGTTTCTATGGGAGGAAAACGCTTAATGTGTAATTAAACGCAATGCTCGTATTCTGGGCTCATCTGCTATTCTGTAGGCTACACATGCTTTATTAATAAGGTGTGTGCAGAATTTGATCTTTTAACATGAATGTCCATTGGGGGCTGCTATTGCTTCAGCTTTTTGAATGTAGAAGTATGATAAAGGCATGATAGGCTATATACATTTTATGTGGATAAAGGGTTAGGTTAGGGTTTTTGTACATTTTTGTATTTTGTACATGACTACGTTATGTTAATGACATTACATCTCGTTATTACGAGAAAAATATGTAGTTTTAACAACATAATTGAGTGGAAAAATAATTTGTGGCAGCAATGCGTCACCGTAGGGAACAGATCATCAGGATCTTCATAAACTGAACAGTTTGGTTACTGTTATTGACTGATCCAAATCAATCCAACAACACCGTTTAGAAGTGTACTGAACCAGATAATCCACATCTACAATTCAAGACAATGTAAATGAATGAACGAGCGAATGAATGAGGTTAGTCTATATGACATAAAATATAAAGAAACAGCACAAAAGGAAGAACAGGTTATTCATGTCAAATGAAGCACAAGAACAAACTCATATGATCCCTGTAGTTAAAGAGCTCCACCTAGTGGTGTTAGTGCTAGTGGTGTTAGGGCTTGTGCTAGTAGTGTTAGTGCTAGTGCTAGTGGTGTTAGTGTTAGTAGTGTTAGTGCTAGTGGTGTTAGTGTTAGTGCTAGTGGTGTTAGTGCTTGTGCTAGTGGTGTTAGTGTTAGTAGTGTTAGTGCTAGTGGTGTTAGTGTTAGTAGTGTTAGTGCTAGTGGTGATAGTGTTAGTAGTGTTAGTGCTAGTGGTGATAGTGTTAGTAGTGTTAGTGCTAGTAGTGTTAGTGCTAGTGGTGATAGTGTTAGTAGTGTTAGTGCTAGTAGTGTTAGTGTTAGTGCTAGTAGTGTTAGTGCTTGCGCTAGTGGTGATAGTGTTAGTAGTGTTAGTGCTAGTGGTGTTAGTGCTAGTGGTGTTAGTGCTTGCGCTAGTGGTGATAGTGTTAGTAGTGTTAGTGCTAGTGGTGTTAGTGTTAGTAGTGTTAGTGCTAGTAGTGTTAGTGTTAGTAGTGTTAGTGCTAGTAGTGTTAGTGCTTGCGCTAGTGGTGTTAGTGCTAGTGGTGTTAGTGCTTGCGCTAGTGGTGATAGTGTTAGTAGTGTTAGTGCTAGTGGTGATAGTGTTAGTAGTGTTAGTGCTAGTAGTGTTAGTGCTTGCGCTAGTGGTGATAGTGTTAGTAGTGTTAGTGCTAGTGGGGTTAGTGCTAGTGGTGTTAGTGCTTGCGCTAGTGGTGATAGTGTTAGTAGTGTTAGTGCTAGTGGTGTTAGTGCTTGCGCTAGTGGTGTTAGTGCTAGTGCTATTGGTGTTAGTGCTAGTGGCCCATAGGACCCGCAGCCTGTCAGATATTCACCCGCCAGAAGGATCAGGATCAGGTTAGAGATGGAGAGTGTGTGACCTCTGACCTCTGCATCAGCCACGGGAGAAAAGTGTAGAATCATAGAGCTGGTCTTGTAGAGGCAGCAGTGTTCACAGCGGGTTTATTCACTGTAACGTCTGTGATGTTATTAATCAATTAGGTGATTGTTGAACTTTTTGGTGCAGGACAATGACCACAATGGTGAAGGAAAGTAAAACTTTATTTTCAAAAAGGTTTTGTTTAATATATGACATAGAAAAAAAGAATAAAAATGTGAAATAAATTAACACTTGTTGCATATGCCACACAGAACAGCTGTTGCAGCACATACGGTAAATATCCAGAAGCACACATACTAATATTTATGATAAAGGCTATTAAACTCTCAACAGGTTCAAACTATCAAATAAATTCACATTTATTCCACACAGCCACATGCTCCTCTACAGTTCAAGGCTATTTCTGGTTGTGTCGTCCAGACTTTACGTTTAATAAGGAAACCAGTCGACTGGTAAGTGGACTGAAAGAGCTCGGCACTCTGGGTAAGTGAATATGTGAAGTATGTCAATGACTTCTGACAGAAAGCTTTATACTGATATTCCAACTGTGTAAATGCATGTTCTCACTGTTAGAGAGAAGAAAGGCAGCAGTGGCCAGTCATAATAAAGTCATTGTTGAGTTAAACACACAACCTCGTTCAATCGGAGTGTTTGACGGATGACAATAATGTAATATGGAAATAAAAGACATGTCTATTGAAGTCAAGTGATGATCGTCAAGAAAAGCTAAAGCTTCATCCACGAAGGCATGGGGTCTCATCAGTCTGGTGTCCTGTGATGCCCAAACGTCCAGCTCTGGTCAGGACAAGCGCTCCTGTTTTCCCTGAGGGGAGAGATCAGATGTTGTGTCTCCCTCCTCCTCCTCCTGCAGTCGCTGTACGGATGAGAGATACTGCTGTAACAGACTGTCTCCAGCGGCCAGAGTCCCCGACCTGAGCGAGAGATACGGGGATCCGGCTGAGTTCCGGCTGGTGTCCGGTGCTGGGGATCCGGCTGAGTTCCGGCTGGTGTCCGGTGCTGGGGATCCGGCTGAGTTCCGGCTGGTGTCCGGTGCTGGGGATCCGGCTGAGTTCCGGCTGGTGTCCGGTGCTGGGGATCCGGCTGAGTTCCAGCTGGTGTCCGGTGCTGGGGATCCGGCTGAGTTCCGGCTGGTGTCCGGTGCTGGGGATCCGGCTGAGTTCCGGCTGGTGTCTGGCGCTGGGGATCCGGCTGAGTTCCGGCTGGTGTCCGGTGCTGGGGATCCGGCTGAGTTCCGGCTGGTGTCCGGTGCTGGGGATCCGGCTGAGTTCCGGCTGGTGTCCGGTGCTGGGGATCCGGCTGAGTTCCGGCTGGTGTCCGGTGCTGGGGATCCGGCTGAGTTCCGGCTGGTGTCCGGTGCTGGGGATCCGGCTGAGTTCCGGCTGGTGTCTGGCGCTGGGGATCCGGCTGAGTTCCGGCTGGTGTCTGGCGCTGGGGATCCGGCTGAGTTCCGGCTGGTGTCCGGTGCTGGGGATCCGACTGAGTTCCGGCTGGTGTCCGGTGCTGGGGATCCAGCATGGATTCGGCTGGTGTCTGGCGCTGGGGATCCGGGTGAGATCCGGCTGGTGTCTGGCGCTGGGGGTCCGGCTGAGTTCCGGCTGGTGTCCGGTGCTGGGGATCCAGCATGGATTCGGCTGGTGTCTGGCGCTGGGGATCCGGGTGAGATCCGGCTGGTGTCTGGCGCTGGGGGTCCGGCTGAGATCCGGCTGAGAACAGGCGCAAGGGATCCGGCCCTGATCCGGCTGGTGTCTGGCGCTCCCTGTCTCTCTCTGAGGGAATGGAAACCGGACTCCGGGATGGAGATCTCAGTGCTGACGGGACCGACAGCAGGAATGCTGGGATTGAATGCAGAGCTCTCGTTCAAAGACGACTGCCACTCCAGCACAACCTGAAGCTGTTAGATAAACACAGTCAGAAATATTCATTATCTGCCATAAAGTGTATTTTGCAAAAAATGAAAACAAAACCCCTTATTATCCCTACGACTAAGGGTGGGTCGATATATATACACGGTAGAAATTTGTCCATCGGTAGAGATTTGTTAGTTTCGTCTCGAGGGCTGCACAATATATTTGATATCGCGATGTCAAGGACAGGGATCATAGTTGATCCGTACGGACCAGCAACCTCGGTTCGAAATGGATGCGATTCTCAGATTAATCAGGAAAGAGCTTTAGGACACGGATTAATATTGGAACAGCTTTGCAGCGCTGAAGAAAGCAAAGCGGGAAGGCCTGAAAACAGACGAGAGGTTTCTTTGATTCGCTTTACACGTGAGTAACACTGAGTAACACTGGGGAACACTGAGTAACACTGGGCTACACTGAAGAACACAGTGTTCTTCAGTGTTACTCAGTGTTACTCAGTGTTCTTCAGTGTAGCCCAGTGTTACCCAGTGTTACTCAGTGTTCTTCAGTGTAGCCCAGTGTTACTCAGTGTTCCCCAGTGTTACCCAGTGTTACTCAGTGTTCTTCAGTGTAGCCCAGTGTTACTCAGTGTTCTTCAGTGTTACTCAGTGTTACTCAGAGTAACACTGGGCTACACTGAAGAACACTGAGTAACACTGGGTAACACTGGGGAACACTGAGTAACACTGGGCTACCCTGAAGAACACTGAGTAACACTGGGTAACACTGAGTAACACTGGGTAACACTGGGCTACACTGAAGAACACTGAGTAACACTGGGCTACACTGAAGAACACTGAGTAACACTGGGCTACACTGAAGAACACTGAGTAACACTGGGTAACACTGAAGAACACTGAGTAACACTGGGTAACACTGGGCTACACTGAAGAACACTGAGTAACACTGGGTAACACTGGGGAACACTGAGTAACACTGGGCTACCCTGAAGAACACTGAGTAACACTGGGTAACACTGAGTAACACTGGGTAACACTGGGCTACACTGAAGAACACTGAGTAACACTGGGCTACACTGAAGAACACTGAGTAACACTGGGCTACACTGAAGAACACTGAGTAACACTGGGCTACACTGAAGAACACTGAGTAACACTGGGTAACACTGAAAAACACTGAGTAACACTGGGTAACACTGGGCTACACTGAAGAACACTGAGTAACACTGGCTACACTGAAGAACACTGAGTAACACTGGGCTACACTGAAGAACACTGAGTAACACTGGGCTACACTGAAGAACACTGGGTAACACTGGGCTACACTGAAGAACACTGAGTAACACTGGGCTACACTGAAGAACACTGAGTAACACTGGGCTACACTGAAGAACACTGAGTAACACTGGGCTACACTGAAGAACACTGAGTAACACTGGGTAACACTGGGCTACACTGAAGAACACTGAGTAACACTGGGCTACACTGAAGAACACTGAGTTACACTGGGCTACACTGAAGAACACTGAGTAACACTGGGCTACACTGAAGAACACTGAGTAACACTGGGCTACACTGAAGAACACTGAGTAACACTGGGCTACACTGAAGAACACTGAGTAACACTGGGCTACACTGAAGAACACTGGGTAACACTGGGCTACACTGAAGAACACTGGGTAACACTGGGTTACACTGAAGAACACTGAGTAACACTGGGCTACACTGAAGAACACTGAGTAACACTGGGTAACACTGAAGAACACTGAGTAACACTGGGCTACACTGAAGAACACTGGGTAACACTGGGTAACACTGGGTAACACTGGGTAACACTGGGGAACACTGGGGAACACTGGGGAACACTGGGGAACACTGGGCTACACTGAAGAACACTGAGTAACACTGGGTAACACTGGGCTACACTGAAGAACACTGAGTAACACTGAGTAACACTGGGCTACACTGAAGAACACTGAGTAACACTGGGTAACACTGGGCTACACTGAAGAACACTGAGTAACACTGGGCTACACTGAAGAACACTGAGTAACACTGGGTTACACTGAAGAACACTGGGTTACACTGAAGAACACTGAGTAACACTGGGTTACACTGAAGAACACTGGGTTACACTGGGTTACACTGAAGAACACTGAGTAACACTGGGTTACACTGAAGAACACTGAGTAACACTGGGTTACACTGGGCTACACTGAAGAACACTGGGTTACACTGAAGAACACTGGGTAACACTGGGCTACACTGAAGAACACTGAGTAACACTGGGTTACACTGAAGAACACTGGGTAACACTGGGCTACACTGAAGAACACTGAGTAACACTGGGCTACACTGAAGAACACTGAGTAACACTGGGCTACACTGAAGAACACTGGGTAACACTGAGTAACACTGGGGAACACTGAGTAACACTGGGCTACCCTGAAGAACACTGAGTAACACTGGGTAACACTGAGTAACACTGGGTAACACTGGGCTACACTGAAGAACACTGAGTAACACTGGGCTACACTGAAGAACACTGAGTAACACTGGGCTACACTGAAGAACACTGAGTAACACTGGGTAACACTGAAGAACACTGAGTAACACTGGGTAACACTGGGCTACACTGAAGAACACTGAGTAACACTGGGTAACACTGGGGAACACTGAGTAACACTGGGCTACCCTGAAGAACACTGAGTAACACTGGGTAACACTGAGTAACACTGGGTAACACTGGGCTACACTGAAGAACACTGAGTAACACTGGGCTACACTGAAGAACACTGAGTAACACTGGGCTACACTGAAGAACACTGAGTAACACTGGGCTACACTGAAGAACACTGAGTAACACTGGGTAACACTGAAAAACACTGAGTAACACTGGGTAACACTGGGCTACACTGAAGAACACTGAGTAACACTGGGCTACACTGAAGAACACTGAGTAACACTGGGCTACACTGAAGAACACTGAGTAACACTGGGCTACACTGAAGAACACTGGGTAACACTGGGCTACACTGAAGAACACTGAGTAACACTGGGCTACACTGAAGAACACTGAGTAACACTGGGCTACACTGAAGAACACTGAGTAACACTGGGCTACACTGAAGAACACTGAGTAACACTGGGTAACACTGGGCTACACTGAAGAACACTGAGTTACACTGGGCTACACTGAAGAACACTGAGTTACACTGGGCTACACTGAAGAACACTGAGTAACACTGAGTAACACTGGGCTACACTGAAGAACACTGAGTTACACTGGGCTACACTGAAGAACACTGAGTAACACTGGGCTACACTGAAGAACACTGAGTAACACTGGGCTACACTGAAGAACACTGAGTAACACTGGGCTACACTGAAGAACACTGAGTAACACTGGGCTACACTGAAGAACACTGGGTAACACTGGGCTACACTGAAGAACACTGGGTAACACTGGGTTACACTGAAGAACACTGAGTAACACTGGGCTACACTGAAGAACACTGAGTAACACTGGGCTACACTGAAGAACACTGAGTAACACTGGGTAACACTGAAGAACACTGAGTAACACTGGGCTACACTGAAGAACACTGGGTAACACTGGGTAACACTGGGGAACACTGGGGAACACTGGGGAACACTGGGGAACACTGGGCTACACTGAAGAACACTGAGTAACACTGGGTAACACTGGGCTACACTGAAGAACACTGAGTAACACTGAGTAACACTGGGCTACACTGAAGAACACTGAGTAACACTGGGTAACACTGGGCTACACTGAAGAACACTGAGTAACACTGGGCTACACTGAAGAACACTGAGTAACACTGGGTTACACTGAAGAACACTGGGTTACACTGAAGAACACTGAGTAACACTGGGTTACACTGAAGAACACTGGGTTACACTGGGTTACACTGAAGAACACTGGGTTACACTGAAGAACACTGAGTAACACTGGGTTACACTGGGCTACACTGAAGAACACTGGGTTACACTGAAGAACACTGGGTAACACTGGGCTACACTGAAGAACACTGAGTAACACTGGGTTACACTGAAGAACACTGGGTAACACTGGGCTACACTGAAGAACACTGAGTAACACTGGGCTACACTGAAGAACACTGAGTAACACTGGGCTACACTGAAGAACACTGGGTAACACTGAGTAACACTGGGCTACACTGAAGAACACTGAGTAACACTGGGTTACACTAAAGAACACTGGGTAACACTGGGCTACACTGAAGAACACTGAGTAACACTGGGTAACACTGAAGAACACTGAGTAACACTGGGTAACACTGGGCTACACTGAAGAACACTGAGTAACACTGGGTAACACTGGGCTACACTGAAGAACACTGAGTAACACTGGGCTACACTGAAGAACACTGGGTTACACTGAAGAACACTGAGTAACACTGGGCTACACTGAAGAACACTGAGTAACACTGGGCTACACTGAAGAACACTGGGTAACACTGGGCTACACTGAAGAACACTGAGTAACACTGGGCTACACTGAAGAACACTGAGTAACACTGGGCTACACTGAAGAACACTGAGTAACACTGGGTTACACTGAAGAACACTGAGTAACACTGGGTAACACTGGGCTACACTGAAGAACACTGAGTAACACTGGGCTACACTGAAGAACACTGAGTAACACTGAGTAACACTGGGCTACACTGAAGAACACTGAGTAACACTGGGTAACACTGAAGAACACTGAGTAACACTGGGTAACACTGGGTAACACTGGGCTACACTGAAGAACACTGAGTAACACTGGGTAACACTGAAGAACACTGAGTAACACTGGGTAACACTGAAGAACACTGAGTAACACTGGGTAACACTGAAGAACACTGGGTAACACTGGGTAACACTGGGTAACACTGGGGAACACTGGGGAACACTGGGGAACACTGGGGAACACTGGGCTACACTGAAGAACACTGAGTAACACTGAGTAACACTGGGCTACACTGAAGAACACT